TTTGGCTAAGTTAGGATTTGCCGTCACTCGGAAAGCTTCGCTATTTGTGGCTGTGACAGTGGGAGTTGCGTTTTGACGTTGTGTATTTGTGCATTTTTCGTGGCAGGGGCAAGGAATTTTGAGGTTGCGACGTTTGGTGTTGGTGGGTGAATGTCGCTGTCACAGTGGGATTGGCGTGCTACAGTGTTTGCTGCTGAGTGGCTCGAAGGGCGAATCGTCTCGTCAGGGCTGTGCAAAGTAGGTCTCCACGCTCGGAACTGGTCAGTTTCTATAGTACAAGTGTAGTACTCTGAGTGTAAGAGTATCTCTTTAAGCGTGTCTTCCCAAAGTGTCCTCCAAGAGTGTCTCACAAGAGTGTCTTCCAAGGGTGTCTTCCCAAAGTGTCCTCCAAGAGTATCTCCCCAAACTGTTCCACTAGAGTTTCTTTACAAGAGTGTCTCACAAGACTGTGTCATGTAAGAATGTCTTTCCAAAGTGTCCTTGTCCCACAAGAGTGCCTTCCCAAAGAGTGTCTTTTCAAAGTGTCTCACAAGAGTGTCCCACAAGAGTGTCTTCCCAAAGTGTCTCACAAGAGTGTTTTGCCAAAGTGTCTCACAAGTGTGTCTGTCCAAACTGTCCTTCAAGAGTGTCTCACAAGGGTGTCTTCCAAGAGCGTCTTTCCAAGAGTGTCTGGCCAAAGTGTCCTCCAAGAGTGTCTCACAAGAGTGTCTCTTTAAGTGTGTCTCCCCGAATTGTCCTCCAAGAGTGTCTTCCCAAACTGTTCCCCAAGAGTGCCTTACATGAGTGTCTCACAAGAGCGTGTCATGTAAGAGTGTCTTCCCAAAGTGTCCTCCAAGAGTGTCTCACAAAAGCGTCTTCCAAGAGTCTCATACCAGAGTGGCCCTCAAGAGTGTCTTCCCAAAGGCACCCTCCAAGAGTGGCGTCCCAATGTCCTTACCATCTTACGTAAATTTAAACAAAAAAAAGTGCGAGTCTAGTCTACTTGATTCTTCTAGGAACGTGTCTGCATTCAGGTTCGTGGGCTTCATCTTGTTTTTTTGCAGCAGGACATGTGACAAAGCCTCATTTTTCCAACCCCGCAGCATTTGGGATCCGTGGTAGAATGGATTGCCTTGGCCTTGCAGGCGGGTTTGTCCGCCGGTTGTTCAAAAAGAAACCGAGATGGGGGACCCGGTTTTGGGGGACCGGGTTTTGAAAGCGTTTTGAAACTTGAAACTCAGCCCCAAAAAATACCGCGGCCAAACCACCAAAAAGCAGTGTGGTGGTCCGACCTTTTGATTGGCCTTTCAACGCTTAGAGCTTGTTGGGCCAATGTCTCTCCTTTTGAGGGAAGCCTACAGATTTGCCTGGTCCGGCCTTTGCCCAGTCATGACTTCTTCGGTTGGCTGGCTGAAGGTTTCGATTTTTCTACACAGAAGGGTTTGAAGTTTGAGGGGTAATCTTTGTCTTTGGGAGACCAAACCTTTTTGATACACGTAAAACTTAAAACAGGTTACGGTTGACCATAGCATGTGGTTGGCAAAGAAGTTCCACGACTGATCTTTTTGAGTACGAGAGAAGAAAATAAGCGCCAGAATCTATCTCCTGCAGACTGGCAATTACTTGGGATTTACTGATTTGCGGTCTGATTTGCTGATGTTGGTTCTCCAAGTCCCAAACCAGCCCACCACATGACTTGACACTGATCACCCCTTACTGACCAGTCAAGCATGATGTTGGGGATGGCTTTCTCACCCAAATCACACTCTTGAGACAGGTCTTCCATCCCTGCCATGTTTTCAGAACTCTGAAAAGCTTTCACAGGTCGCGCTTGGCTCCCACCCCACGTGCGGGAGCTCAAGGCCGTGGTTTGGCCCTTTGTGGTTTTGCGCGACCCGGAGGTCTGCAGGCTAGCTGTGGAATACACGGATTGTTGAGGTAACGGCAGGTAACTAGGACCCACAAGAATAGGTTGATAAGAGACCCTGTCGTGGGACCTGAATGTCATCAGATGACACCTGAATGTACTGGAATCATCTGGATTCTATGTAGTTACACTAAATGTGTCCATATTGGCCTTCCCAAATCATGGATCGTCCGGTCCGGGCGGGCCGGGCCATTGCGGGGCAGTCGCCCACTTAAGGAGTCCTTTAGTCCTTAATTCCCCACCGGTCAAGTACATGACATGGTCCACCTGCGGGAGATTGCAGACTGGAGAGGTCCACTCTAGCCAATCGATTCAGTTTGAGTCGTTTGGGAGAAAATGGTTTCTTCACCCATGAAACCGGTGGAGGAAGAAATTCTTCGCCATGTCTAAAATAACGGCTTGGGAAGGCTGCCTAAGATCGCCTCTTCAATGAGGTCTCAAATCGTGGCCGGGCAGTTCTGCCGGCCATCGGTCTGTTTCTGCCTGGGACCTGGCTGGATCTGCGACTGGGCTGGTTCAGTTGTAACACATTCCCTAGGGATCCGTTCGTAGCTCCTCAGAAGGTACGAAACGACCATCTTAGACCATTGGAAAACCACCCCTGGCTCACCTTCTAAGGAGGTACTTGGATCCCTAGGCGGGGGTGAGGGGGGGCATTGGTCTATCAAGATGTTTGCACAATCTTGTAACTTTTGGGGGGGCCCAACATGTGTGCTTTGCCAAACAGATGGTGAGCATGGTTGTTCCACTCCTTGGTAACCAACACCCCCGTTTTCTTCCGCGTGTTTGCTTACCCAATTTCAGCTTAGTCTTTGTGCGACTCCCATCACCCTGGACCTTGCAATTGGACCTTACCCGAGCCGGTGCGAGGCACACGCTGTACTTTCTGGCTAGCTGCGCCCACACGCAGGCGAGAACTCTTGCAGCGCCTGCTGCTGAGATGTTGTTTCGTTTGTTCGACGTTCCAGAGGTGTCAGAAGTTAGCTTCGGACCGCATTCACTGACATGTGCGCCAAGACATCTTTTTTTAAGTGGATCCCTGCAGATTTCACAAAGGCTCGAGGACTGACCTCCTAGCGCACGGCGCAGGAGTGTACTTTTGAATTTCGAGCCCCATGCCTTGCCGCTGAACCTTATAGCGGGTTCTTCAACCTTGGAAGACATGTCTTTTTCCCGAATGCGTAGCAAGGGTTCTCGTTTATAGTGGGGGTCTGGGTGGAGGTGTGTTCGCCAAAAGTTGCGTTTGTGTTCGCAGCCGTCCGCAACCGTCCGCAACCGTTTGCGTGAGTGGCAAAAGGCCCTGCCTTTGGGGGGAAGCTCTTGGAGGAAGTTTTACATGGAAGGCCCAAGTGTCAGATTCGTGTGAAATACCGCAGAAGCGTGACATCTTGAAGGGTGAGGGAAAGTGAGAGGTCATTTCACTGCGCAGGTGCAGCGTTTTGGGAGGTCATTCTCCCATCTGATGCCATTGGCATTTGGTACGGCCATTTGATTGCCACACCCAGTGCCGCCTGAGCCAGGTGTGCCAGCCTGCAGAGGCATGGCAAGGCTGGTGAGATCTGATAGCGTGATCCCCATGACCACAGCAAATTAAGAAGTGCTTAGCTATCATGGCCTGGAGTCTCACTACATGGAGCGTCTTTCCAAGAGAATCAGCTGCTCTGGTTGGGCTTGGTCCTTCATAACTCCTATAGTGCAGGGCGCAGGAGAAAGATTGTTTCTTTGTTTGTTGATTGCTGAACGGGTTGCCAGGGGTGTTTTCTCATTTTGGCTATTGCTGGTTTTCAGGCAAATAGCACGGATGGCAGACTGGATAACATGTGTCAAGACTCTGCAACATCTGTCAAGATCTGAAACCGTTGCGCCCGAGCCGGTGCGAGGCACACGCTGTAGTTTCTGGCTAGCTGCGCCCACATGCAGGCGAGAACTCTTGCAGCGCCTGCTGTTGAGATGTTGTTTCGTTTGTTCGACGTTCCACAGGTGTCAGAAGTTAGCTTCGGACCGCATTCACTGACATGTGCGCCAAGACATCTTTTTTTAAGTGGATCCCTGCAGATTTCACAAAGGCTCGAGGACTGACCTCCTAGCGCACGGCGCAGGAGTGTACTTTTGAATTTCGAGCCCCATGCCTTGCCGCTGGACCTTGTACCAATGCCCGTCAGATCAAAGCATTGACGTGGCTGCAAATGTGCGGCGGGTGGCGGAATTTCTGTTGTGGCAGCTCTTCGGTTGGGTGGACAACCTAACATTAGATGGTTGCTGGACTTGGGGCGACGGGAGAGGAGACAGCAGAACTCAGCTGCACATGGCGTCCGGTGAGGTTGGCTTGCGGAATTTCCACGACGTCATGTCATTGGCAGTGGTCACTTTGGATGCCAGGGTGCCGGCCTTCGGTCTGGTTATCGTCGGTTCGCGTGGTAGGCTTGCAAGGATCACCCGCGAGTTGTGGG